ACATAAATAAATTTTTTCACATACAAAAGACATAGTAGGTATGGATGCGATTGACATTAAATTATTATATCAACATGTATATAAAATCAATGAAATAAGTTTCTTATCATTTTCCATCTGGATATTTCGCATAAGCAATTACACGAACGTCAGATTAGGTTGAAGTTCGGACTTTGGTAATCATGACCATTAGACATTCTTCATTTTTTAACTTCTCTTTCACCATAAATTTATCAAGTAAATTAGATTTCTTCATAAAAAGAACGTATATATTGTGCAACAAACAAATAATTGATTTCTTTACATGAAACTTGTTTCAATTATTTTAATATTTTGTTTTCATGAACTTCCAACGAAATTGTACAAAATATCTTCCACATAACTGCGATTAAGGCCAATCATAATGCTGCGCGACTCTTAGTAATAAAAGTAGAAAAGTGGAAAATTTCGAATGATTTGAACTAGTTTAGGTCGGTCATACAGGCTTAGGCCGGCTTAGACCAGCAAATACCGGTCTATAACAGTAACCGGTATCAGTTCTATCTATGGTTAGAAAACTACGTGATTTTGTTTTGATAATTATTTATTTCCACCAGTAACAAAAGCTATTTATAATTTTTCGCTTTATGACTTACGTGAAAGCTACATTGTAAAAGATTCAGATGGAAAACGATAAGAAACTTATTTCATTGATTTTATATACATGTTGATATAATGATTTAATGTCAATCGCATCCATACCTACTATGTCTTTTGTATGTGAAAAAACTTATTTTATGTTTATTCAAACTAAATAAAGGATATAGTTCATCACTAATCTTTATGTTACACCATATCCATAACAGAGTCAAGTAAAGATTTTCTACTTGTTGCGTTTTTCTTTTAGAATTATTTCATTTTTTTCGTTTAGTCAATACCGTAATTGAAGTCTTGAAGCCAATATTGCCAACATGTAAGATGTAATTAATCGAATTTCTTCAGATCATTCAGTACAAAAGATTGTTGAAAACAACAAATGATTGCCAGTTACTTGCAGACTGTGTCAAGTTTAGCTGTAATACAGAAATCTATTGTAGATATATGACATGTCTACTTTTCTTGCTCGATCTTAATCTAGGCCACGACGGCAGTATCGGGATGAACATCTCTGATGTAATCTTAGAACTTCTAAAAGCTAGAATTTTTGAAACTTAATCCTGCAAAGAAGATCTTCCATTCGCTTAGGTGTGTGTGAGGAGACTGCAAATGAATTAAAGACCCATACTTACACCCATCCATTTAGAATCATCTCTAGAAAACCAATTTTTTATTGAACTCAACATTTCATTGAAATTTGCAAGAATAACCATGAAGTTATTCAAGAAGAAATACATTTGTGGCGCTGATGTTTCAATGGAAAAGATTGCCAGTTAGATTCTTGAAGAGTTACTTCATCAATCCAGATTGTTAACCATTCTCCTGCACGTTTGAATGTAAGTTTCATTTTGATTCGTAATCGATTATCCCATTGTTGTTCTTTAAAGCTATCGAACATCGGTAAGGTAAGATCGATAATTTTGAAAGTAAGACTATGAAGATGCGGAAAACAAGTATACAAAAATGGTACACTGTCAAAATCGATCGTATCGATCTTTAAATGCTCAATCAATGGAAAGAGATCTGCAATAATACAAATATCTTCTTTTCGAAATGCTTGTTGATTGTATAAAAGACTGAAAGAAATATCTAGACGTTTAATGTTTTTCTTTGTTCTGAGAAGACCAATCTGTTGAAGGATCGATCGATTAAATTCGATTTGAAGCGAGAATATATTTTCGATAAGTGCTATAAGCGAAGTAACTACATGAAATTCCATTTTTGGTCCTGGAATCTTTAATTCTGTAATTTTTGATAGACGAACATGCGTCGTAATCCATTCAAGCAAAGATGAATTAAGACAATCGACCTTGAGACATTTGACATTCTCGAAGTAGTATTGACTTGGTGGCAGAGGATCCTCGACAGAAAGACGTAAACTAGTGATACTATCCATTAGAAATCGATTGTCGATAATGGAACGCTCAGGAAGTGTCCAAAATTGAACAGTTCCTGAATTGATCTGTGAATTGAAATCAATGTCAAATTGATGTCGTCGAGGATCAATTGGTTGATAGTTAAAAATAATATCTCCGAAGCATTTATACATCATAATGAAGATATTAAAGTTTTTCTTTTCGATCCAAAATGGAGTTTGAAAAGATGTCAGTGATCTATGGATGTTGTCAAGACTGTGTTGTGAAAGACGAGCTGCACTTATTTTCAGAGTAAAATAAGTTAATTGTGGTAATGATGTTTCAAGAAGTATTTGCCAATCACTTGCATTGAAAAATCTATTGTGTGAATTGAGAACTTCCAGATAATATAAATTTGGCATAACATGAAAGTATTGTACTAACTGATTCCATGTTACTTCAGTATATCTATCGATAAAATGCAAAATTGCAGTACGAAGTCTAGTTAATGGCGGAATATCGATCGGTGATTGAGAAAAGTTCGAGGATGCGTTTATTATTCGCACGTTCAAATAATTAAGATCATGAGCACATTGGGATATTTGTTGCAGTTGATTCCATGTGCAACCCTGTCCCACAATAGTCAAATGTTTAATATTGAAGGAAATCGAGTTCTGAAAATTCCGCAATGCTGCATAAGTATCGATATCAAGAGCAAGCCGTTTGAGTGTTGACAAGCTTGAAGTGATGCAATTGGTAAAACTCAATATGTTAAAATTTGATGCATGTGTTGCTTTGACCGACAGAGTGTGAAGACTCGAATGGGATAAGGAGTTGAAGGCTTGGTTAATTCGATTCTTGTCGACAGTTGTAACATCAACATCTAAGTGAAATCCACGAAGTTTGTTGAATATATTCAATGATGGAAAGAAGAATAAAAAGATATTAATCTATCCGGATGTATCAAATTCAGATAATGTTAGACTTTTGACCTTGTCAAGATAATTTGGTAGAAGATTAATACAGAGCTCAAAGTCTTTCTTACGAATACTGGTGAAATCTAAATGAAATTGTTGACATTCATTAACAATTGCATTGAAGCGGCTGTTTAATTGATTAATAAAAGCAACGAACACATCCACTGCATTAATATATTTCTCCAGAAGATCGATGAGTATTTCGTTAGGAAGCGATTCGAGCTTTGATATTGGCATAGTCGAACTGAGAAAAAGTGACAATAAACGTTTTTACATTTATGATGTCATGAATGCGTGTAGTTGCATAATAACAAATCACGTGGTACCCTTTTTTCTTGGTAAGTAAATAGCGCAAAAAAGAAAGATTTATGTTGTTCTTTTATTTCCTGAGAAGAAGAAAAACACATTTATGCACTATTATGTTTACTTCGCCTCTACTCTGTAAAAAATACCGTAAAATAATGAAACTTAAAAGGTTTTATGAAAGTGCGATGTATAAAAACCTTTTTCTATCGTTTGATGGTATGAAATGAGAAAAGAACCACATCTACGTCTGCGAGTCCGAATAGAAAAGTTTGAATTCGACAAGTTCTTCTAGATACGATATAGATATTATAATGATATATCATACATATATATTCATAGAGATGTTGAAGGGGTGGGAATGGGTGTTATTCTCCACACAATTCAAATCCACCCACACCCTCGATCGATAAAGATGATTTGCATATCATGAAGAATAACATGAAATGCTCTAATTGATTCTTCGAATTTATTTACAATACAATCTATAGGAATAAACATAAAAGAAGTATAATATCTATTAAAATCCAAAGTGTGATAAACGGTACATAAGCACAAAACGAGAGAAAAAAATGAAGAGAAAGAGAACAGAGAGTCCATATCATCAAAGTCACGATAAATCGACGATTTTCCAACAAATTTCAACAGGAAGTACTACTATATAATGACTAATTATTATTTTTTCTTTTATGTAAATAACCTGATCATCTCAATACGCAATAATGATTGTCTTAATAAAAAAAAAAAAGCTTCTTT